ATAGGATTTCCTAGCTCAGAAATCTCTAATAGAAAGTGTATAAATCATAAATGAAGGATAGTTTTTCTGTTCAAAAATGGATGATAGCAAACAGCCTGCTACTTAAACCATCCCCTTCAATCTGTGCAACCAATTAATTAGATCAGGAAGTCTAAGAACAGATACTTTGCCAGTTTTTCACTTCTCCCTGCCCAACACAAAGAAAACCACCTACTTACGTGGTTTCTTTCACTGAAACAACACATCGGGTTGTTTCACACACAATTATCATGGGTTGTGCTTCAGCATTCACATGGATGGGATGCCAAATAAAGGGACTAGAATTCAAATTGGTTTGCCCAGTTAAAGGACACATTACAAGATTTGGTCTATTTTTTTTCTTTCCCCTCCCCCTTACTTCCAATGGTAAAAGCAACTCAGGATATCATTCCAAATTTTGTGCTTGGCAAGAGAGCACTTAAAAGTGATAAATCAGTCATCAGTAATGTTTAATACCTAACTGGTTAGATAGGAGTGTTCCCTCCACTGCACAGGTATTTGGTAGTAGAACATTTATACTGTGTTTGACTTTAAACCACAGACTAATTAACACCATATTTTAAAGAGTAAACAAATAAATAATTCCCTAATCAAGACTAGGTTAACACTAAACTAAGAAATATTCTAGCAATGAGTTTGCATAGCTTGTATTCGACAACATGCTCCTAACAAAGGGACAGTATCTGCTTGTTTGCAGAGCAATTAAATATGCTGTAGCTGTTGAATAAGTAATTTAATCCAGAACACATTAGCAAGCCTTTTTCCTGCACAAATACAAATACTGCAGTACTAGGAAAGACATTAATATATCCTGTATTTATTGTCGAACAAAAAGCAAAGGAAGGGGAAAGACCCTGAAACCAAAGGCACTCAGCAATAGAGAGCTTTCAAAAAAAAAAAACCACCAACCCAAAAAACCACACAAAAAAACAAAACCGGGAAAAAGGACAAAACAGTTAACATGGCCTGAGAAATCGCGAAGGCATTCATTCTAATACCAATGACATTTTAAGCACATTTGTATTAACAGAGGACCAAATGCACAACAATTAAATATCTCCTTAACTTCTGTACTTAAACCCCTGAATACAACAGAAAAAAAACCCCAAACATCTACCAAGCAGTGCTTGGGGAATGCTACCTAGCAGGACATAGATGATCTCTGGAGACAGACACTTTAAACTTTCTCATTTTGCCAAGATAAACTTGGTTTCTTCACTGTACATACAGCAAGATAACACCATCAAGCTGCAGTGTGCCATCTGGCCAGCTGGGTAAAAGCTGCTTCTCCTCATCACAGCATCTGCTTCATTCTAAGCTTCTCCAAATTAAAGACAGGGCATTCTGGCCACAGTCTTCCACAGATTTCATTTCTATTTACACACTACAAAAAAACAACCAGGAGCTGCACAGAGGATCAAACACATAATCTGAAAGATGTCAGCTCCTGTGGCATCCCAAAAAGCCTCAGGCCAGCACTGTTCTAGACTCCCGTGCAGCAGCACTGGTGACAGCGGGCAGCAGGCTGTGCTCATCATGGTCACCGGTGCCAGTCAGAAGGCACAGATTTATTAGCAGTCACGAAATCAAACGGACTGTCTGTATCGGTGAGCTTCAGACACCACAGATGGTTAGAACTAGAAACATGAATTATCGCCTATGCCAGGTAATCTCATTACAACTATGTCTCCCCACTGAGAAAGAACAGACCAGCCCAGTTGTTCTGCAAAGCACTTACCAGAAAATTAGCAAGCATCTTCTCACTCCAGAATTGTTCTAAGTATAGGGACATGATTTTAAGAGCCTAATTATAAACATTTCACTATGGGACTATACTCCTTGCTGCACATGTCATGGTTTTAGTCTGCTACATGTAAAACTCTGCCCTGCAATGAGTTAATGAGTGGAAAGGGAAAATATTTTAGTAAGCTCTGTACTCACCAAGTCATGCACATAGAAAGCAAATGGGCGATATGGAAGTTATCTCAGTAGCTGTAAAAAACCTGTCAAAAGCTAATACAGTGCACATACTATTTTGAACACAAGGTTACAGAGTTAACAGAGCCTTACGCTGAAAGCGTAGTCTAAGAGATCTCCCGGTCTTCACTCGTGCCTAGTGTTAAACAGTTCTGTTGACACATTAATCTAGAACAGTTTTAAAGATTCAAGGGTGAACTGAAGGCTTGTGTCAACTGTCAAGATTCTGCCATCCTTCTGGGTTGACCCAGACATTTGCAGCTGCGAAATCCTTACATATAAGATAGCAGTGCAATGCAAACAGCACATCCTCTGCTTGTGGCAGAAGAGCTGCTTTTATTTAGTTTACCATCAGTTCATTCTCATGCCGTTTTTAAACTGCACGTATTTCAGACTGCATTGCTCTATACAGGGTCCAGGTCACATTATCTCAATGATCTTGAGATCTTAATGATCTCAAATTCGGCTGCTTTATCTGCAGCACTGCCCCTGAAGGTAGCCAAGAGGTGATGGGAACCGAGACACGCAGTGACACCGGTAGAAAGAGTCGAGATTTGCTGCCAGGAGGCGGCAGCACTAGCACGACTAACGTAGGGGTTCAAGCCTCGCCATGGCTTATAGGAGCTCTCAAATCCAATTCTCACTCTGCTTCCATTTATACTTTGCTTTGTCTGGCCATCTGGTCTGTTCATAACAGGGACTTACACAACAGAACACGTTCCTGAAACACAAGTAACTCATAAGCTTCAGCCCTAGTAGAATAGTTGGCACATTCTGTATCAATCCAATACACATGGATTTCTGCGTAACTGATAATTTTATTGGAATCTTTTAACAAAGATGTTTGTTCAGATCACCTGTTCAGAAGGCAGGTATACGGCTTCTGTTCACGGGATACATACTGAGCATGTCTCCAAGCAAAACATAAATATGATTTTGTCTGACCTCATACATATGCATCTTTACTACAGAAAAGCAGATTTTCCTCAATAAAAGTTGTATCTATGGGACCAATGCTCATTTCTTCTAGCTATGACTTGTACCAAATCCATATCAATAATTATGGGTTAAATACATCAATATATGTGGTAGAGCTTTAACAGTAAAAAAAAATAAGAAAGTTAAATACTGCAACAGCTTAGATACATAGTGCATTTGAACGATGGAACATAAAGTCTATTGACCTAGCTAATGACACAGTCACCAAAACACAACATACAGAAGCAATGTCAACAGCCAGTACTTGTCTAAGCATTTTAGATTTCCCCTTTTCCCTTCAAAACAAAGAAGAGTTGTGCACATATTGAACATGAGTTTAGGTATCATTAAGCTTACAGCAACACCGATCCTGGATATTTAAGGTTGGGTTACAAAACAGACATATTAAAGCTGCAGGCCACTAAGTACACACAGCATTTATGAGTACGAGGAGCCAATGTTTCCTGTAGCACAGGTTCATCATTCAAACTAAGTGTACCCTATGTAACACTAGCATTAATTGGCAGTATTTGTATTTAGTGGAAAATGCCACATTACTCAAGCAAAATAAGCTAGGTTTTTAAACTGTTGGTTTAATTATGATGAAGGCTAGGGAGGTATTTTAATTGAAATATCTTAGTAAAGTGAAGTGAAAAAGATGACCTATCACTGTTCTCTAAAACACAGGAATCAAGTTATGTGTGTTCTCCGAGTCATCAAGGGCTTGTATTTCGGTCAGCATCTGAGATTTTGACCTAAGCGCTAGTTAAAATAAACCTGTATATAATGCAGCATACTTAAAATAGATGCAATGATGACCAGTAAGTTATTTGTCAGTCTCTACTTTTTACAGTTACAAGCCCAACGACTTAGGCACACAAATTCTAGCCAATCTTTTAAGTTCAAATTCAACCATTACAAGCCAGAGAGACCAATTTCAGACACTCCTCTGTGATAGCATCCTGGACTGTAAGAACATGCATACACCAGCTGTCCAGAAATACAGAGATGCTAATAAAGAACTTGGAAGAAAAAGACATAAAGCATAGACATGCATGCCAGTTAATTTCCCAACTAAAATGCTATTTACAAGCCATACTTCCCATTTTTTTGTAATCTGTAGGTTTTAACCCAACTTACAAATATGAGTTCAAATGCAAGACATCCAATATGTGACCATCTGGAACAGCCAAAGTGAAAATGAGTGCAAATTACAAAGCCACAAAGATTTCCTGATCTTTTCAGGTCAAAATTTATTTACCAGGTAATTAACACCAGACAGAGATGGAGTCCATAAAGGACATGACTTTTAGGAAAGTCAACGCTATTTTGACCAACAACATTAACTTTTCGAAAAGTCTGAAAGGTTTCTTCATATTGCAAATCAAAGTCCTCCACAAAGTTATCTGGTATCTTACTGCATGCCATAATGTACTATTGCCCTACAAGCTGTGCAGAAACTCACAGCCAAGAAACTATTAATGCACGAGAAGCTTAGAAGTTACCATGTATAAGATATGATTAAGCTGTAACAGAATCTTAGGTATCAATTATGGCTTAGACCTGAATTGCAAGTCAATACTTAGAAAAATATCCTTAAGTGAATGATATCATCTATATGCAAGTGAGACAACTTTGTTACACTGTTGGCTAACATGACCTTTTGCTCAGAAGAAATAGTAGACAACATATTCACAAATAACCGTATCTACTTTGCAAGAATTAGCCCTGTAAGAATTCAACATATTTTTGTTTTTACTTGTGTTTAAGGTACTGTGTAGATATTTACAGGTATTTATAAACAGGCTTTGTTTCTTGAACAGCCAGATCTTTGATAATTAATTCTTTACCCTTCTTCCCTCCCTCAATCAAATCTGCCAAATTCAAGATATTGTTCTAGCAGCATTCATGAAATCAATAGTGCAAAGTTATTACAAAAACCTCTTCTCCCAAGCTGTGACATTCTCTTCAAGTTTGTATTAGATCAATAGCACTTCCCATGTATTTAGAGCTCGGGAAAGGCAGGGAGGCAGAAACAATGGATATGCTGAATTTAGCAAGCAACTACTTTGTTCGCCGAGGGGTTTTTGGGGGTTTTATTGTTGGGTGGCTGTTTTTTATTTACTGCTCATACTGGCCATTGTTACAACTTTGGCAACCAGTTCACTACATTCAGTTCACAGCTCCTCGTTCTGACATGCACCTATAACATGGGAGTTGAACTGCACCACAGTAATTGTCATGTCATCTCTGTACATTCGAGCCAGCTCTTCTGGAAGACTAAGCATCTTGGACAGTCGCTCGTGATCCACAGTGCCAAACTCGTTGTTACCCACTGCATGGCGTATCAGGTGAGTTGCTGCATTCTGATCCTCAAATACTGAAGAGAATTTTGCTCTCCTTTCTGTTAAGAGACCATGCATCTGTCCCAAAGTTACCTTATAGCCACCAACAGCAATTGGCTCCTGATGGTGAACCCCAGTGAGGTACTCCCCTACAATTCTGGCCACATCTTGCCTGTGCATCGTCTCCCACAGCCCGTCCGTGGCCAAAACCAGGAACTTATCCTGTGGCCGTAATTTGTGGTATATGACTTCTGGCTCAGCTGTAAGGTACGGGGGAGTGTGATAGTTTGGAGGAATAAACTTTGTGTATTCATTTTCATTCAGCTGATCTGGGCCCGATTCTATCACTCTCTTCTGTAGTTCAATACTCCACTTAAACTTCACATCACCAAAAGCTCTGAAAGGCATCAGAAGACCTAAGAGACGATCTTGTTTCACAACGTTTTTCTCTTCGGACTTTGGATGCTCCATTTTCACACGTTCCACTTCATGAACATTTTGTGCATTGTGGTCATAGGACAAATTAAGTGCAGACCAAGATCCATCTTCTTCCTGAACCCCCAGCATTGCCCGACTGTCACCTGTGTTTGCAATGTGCAAGTCAACACCATCCACATGGGCCACGCAGGCAGTTGCACCAGAAAATGCTACTCGCAGTACTAGGTAGTTGAGAAAAGAATTTGGATCTCCTACTTGAGCTTCTAAAGAAATATCATTATCAAGCCGCTTAAAAGCATTAATTAAAGCTTCTTTCACATCAGTAGTCTCTCCACTGTTGAGATCAATGAGCTCCTGCCAGTAAGTCCTTAGACTATTAAAGTAAAGCTTGGAAGCTTCTTTGCTAAAGTAATCATTCGGATGTTTGTGCCACTGTAAAATGGGCAAGAGTGCTCTCCCGCTTTCCACAGCATTTTCTATTTCTAGTAAAGTCTCATGAGGTAACAAAGAGACAGCAATGTAGTAAAACAGTCTTTCACTGACAGCTTGAGCACAAGCACAACCTGCATGGCCATCAAACACACCCAGAAGCATTCCTCTTGTCTGTAAGCAAGTGGCAGCACTCCTCCGGTCTTCTATCGGAGCATTAGCAGGCAACTGGTTGCTATCAAAGCCAAGAACAGAACTGACATTTTTACCATCAAATTCTGGGACTTTGAAACTGTATTCATTTGCCTTCAGAATGCTGTTGACTTGTGGAGGAGTGAGGTAAAATCTCTGTGGTGTAGAAGCATAATCCCTCGCATGAATAAAGTGATTAAAATTCTCCTTTGGCCTATAAAGTGCCGCAAATTTCTTCTGAGGTGCATATCTGAAGTGACCGTGAGCAAAATGAGTTGATAAACAGCACAGATGTTGATGGTGGCAGTAACACACAGTACTGCATATTCTGCTAATCTCACAGTTACGAATCAATGGAAACAGATGAGCTGGTGCTGGCATGGCATCGGACAACAATGGCAGCCTGGAGCTTCGGACTGGAATCGCTGAAAGACAAGAGAACACCTGTGCTTAGGGGGGCAGCTAACAGATTTATTTATTTTTCCCCCCTAGAACTCTGTGTCAAGACATTTACAGCTCCTAACAAGGTTGATTATATGGAGTTCATAGCATCACAAGTCTTGAGAAAGAAAAGGCATAAATAAAAGTTGCTTGTTTACAGACACTACATTGGGCTATAACAAAAAACTACACCATACTTAAAGCTCAGCATAGCTATATTCTAGCTCTTACACCCACTCAGATATAGCAGGTAGGAAACAAAAAATATCCAGACAGACCATGCAGCTTCAAACAGGATTTAAGACAACAGTTAGCAAGGAGCACTCTACAGTATCGCCATCTTCTGCAAGACTTTTATGAAGATTTGTTTCCCTGCTGATTTCCCAGTTAACAGAGCCAGACATGGCACACAGGAACAAAATCCCATCTTCCTGTAAGGCTGGAGATAAAGCATCTAACAGTAAGATTCAAGGAACAACTCTGAGATGACACGTAACTGGATTTAAGATCAGGATGGCTTAGACAATAAAAGCAAGCAGTAGGTCACCGACAGTAGATATTCTTTTGGTAATTACAAGTCAATATCTGGTTTTGCTGCTTCTCCCCCTCTTTCACATGTAAAGCTTCAACTGTGTTTGACACCATGGTGTAAATATACAAAACAGCCACAGCAGTCTATGCAATTTTCTAGCTTATTATATAAAAACAGAAGAGGCAGAAAGCAGATACACCTCTCCTACCAGCAGCTCATCTACCCCAATAAATTTTAGGATTATCAACTGCTTTAAAAAGCTACTCATTCAAGGATTACATGGCAAGCTGTGTTTGCTTCCATGGCTAAAATACAGCATTGCACAATAGCCTAAAGCTAGGTCAGCATTAAGATACACTATTTAGTATCCAAGACAAGTATTCTACTACTTTTGCCACATCTAATATATTTCCTTATTTTTCATTCCTCTGAAATATTATTCTAACATACTCGTCTCTGCTCCCATTTATCTACCCCATCACTACATTAGGGAGGCATAATGAATAAGGAATTTAAGAAGCATTCTATCAGGAAGTCTTTTGCAATGTCACACTTAAGAAAACCATTCCACAGTGCCTTGTGTGAAGTACACACAGTTAAGGTGAATTCAGTTTTCTCTTTCCAACTTATACAGTCAAGTTTCATCATAAAAGCTGCCTCTTAAAGACCATCACAAATTACCTTACCCAAGGCTTACTGCAGTTAGCACTACTGTATTTCATATTTAATCATTCTGCTGAAAAACTGGACACTGCTGTGTTGCACAAGATGCTTCAGCCACTAAACTGATTTAGGGTTTTTTTTTAGGCAAGCAAGCCACACGAGTATTTCAGATGAGACACAACCTCTATAAAACATGCAGCAAGCCCCAATACTCAATCTAAAGGACCATGCAACACAGGAGTAATTGAATTCTACAACTGCCCTATTCTGCCAACTTTCCATAGCTTCTGCCACAGGATTCTGATCGTCCAGACTAGATGAGAAGTGTCTGGAAACACACAAAGCTTCACCCCATTCTCTGTGTTGCAAGGGAAGGAAGCAAGTCACATTCTTCCCTCCAAGCTCGCTTGTTCTCCTTAAGGAGAAGTATTAGTGAACAGCTGTCAGTCTTGACTTACACTGACAAGAATTCCTGCCCATTGAGCATTCCTAGGTCTTCCACTGACAGTTACGAAGATTGAACTGTCCAGTTTTCGGTTGTTCAGCTACCAGGAAGAGCTCTGGTTGTAGTCCTGTGGCCCACAGCCAGCTATCTAGACACTCAGCAGCAGCATATTGGTTCGAGCTTCTTAAGTTCATGTTAGCCATTTGCTTCCTAGAAGTCTATTTCACCAGCCCAGGTTTCACATGCATAGAGCATGACAGAAGTAAACTGCAAATCTAAATACAGATTTTAATATCTATTAATCACCTTCTAATTAGAAGGAAGCTATTTTGGTAGACTGTTTGTCTATTTCTTCACATGACACTTAAAAGCAACAGTTTTGCTCACCCAATGGCCATGTCCTACAAATGTCTGGCCTACAGCAGCACCTCAGGCTCAGCCCTGGCCTCCCATAAAGATTCCAACTGAATCAAGTCCTCCTGACTGCTAAGTATTTGTGTCCAGTGCTGACCCACACGCGGTGCCACAAACTGTCCTGACAGTTTTGCTGTTGACCCATGATGAAGCAAAAATACACATGTACTGCTCATATAGTAGCTCCACAGTGCCACCAGAGCATATTTTGCTGGTTTTTAATCATTAGTTTATCAATCATTACACGAAATCCAAGAGACAGTAATAAGAAGTCTCAAATTTTCCATAACCTGTATCATTTGCAGTAGATCCATATCAGCTTAAGATACTCGTTTGTTTCACATACCAGACTTACTAAATCCTAGTTGATTAACTAAATGAGAAATTCCAAGTTGCCAGCCCGAAGTAAAATTTTTGCCAAGTGTCTCCCATTTACCCCCACAACACAAATGCCTCAAATATAACCAGACATCCTAACTAACCCTTAAATAATCACTTTAAGATAAAGATTCCATGATGTTTGATCAAAAGATGGCAGAGAAAGAAAAGAGATTAAGCAGAAATTTTACAATCCAATCAAGATTTGTCAGGAGATTAGAACCAAGCCAGTATTAAATACCTCTCCAAGCCCAGAACAGAGTACAAACGCTATTTTTCAGGCTACAGATACAGCTAATAATGAGTCAGATGGCCAGCTGCAGGGTTTTGTAGTACTACACGGATGAGATGGAAAGAACATCACCCCTCGCTTCGGTGAAGTCCTCTTACAAGTGCACGATTAAGGCCAAG